AAAATGACAATCGAGAGGATTTAGTCATTGAAAAACAAATTGTCAGTAGTAGGTTGTTTCATATACCTCTGTTCTTCAGGCTTGCCCACAACCCTCTCACCTTATTTTGATAACAGTTCTTTGATTTTCCTTTGGGGACTATCCCACACCCACTGACCCCCTCACTGCTGTCACCACCTTTCCAGGGCAGGCATGTGACTCAGGTCTAGCCATCAGTGGATATGGATTCTGAGACTGCAGTGATATATAACAGCCAGGACAGCCTCATATAATTATGAATCACTTTAATTTTTGAGAAGAATGTGACAAATAATATGTGGAGAAAGAAGGAAAAGTTGTCATTAAGATTTGGGGCCATAATAGCCTCCTAAATTAAAAAAAAAAAATGGGGGCGCCTGGGTGGCTCAGTGGGTTAAAGCCTCTGCCTTCGGCTCGGGTCATGATCTCAGGGTCCTGGGATCGAGCCCCGCATCGGGCTCTCTGCTCAGCGGGAAGCCTGCTTCCCTTCCTCTCTCTCTCTCTGCCTGCCTCTCTGCCTACTTGTGATCTCTGTCAAATAAATAAATAAAATCTTTAAAAAAAAAAAATGAACTTCCAACTCTGCTCTGAATTATCTAAGGGACCTGAATCAAGCCCTTTCCTTTCTCTGAGCTTTAGTTTCCTTGTATATAATATGAGGAGCTGAATGTAACTGTAATCAGGGTCTCTCTTCCTTCCTAAATCTCTAAACGTTTCTTAAATTTGAAATTCAGCAGTTAAGTATGTATCTCCTTGTTGGGCATTTTCAGAGGTGCAGGTGCTACGCCCAGGGTTATAACAATGATCTTTTCACAGTCGGCCCTCAGGGAACTGACAATGCATGATTTTGAAGTAGGCAAAGCGTCTCCCTTCCTTTTCCTGTGGTCTAAGCTCTTGACCTTATCACTCCCAACAATTTTTTTTTTTTAAGATTTTATTTATTTATTTGACAGACAGAGATCACAAGTAAGCAGAGAGGCAGGCAGAGACAGAGGAGGAAGCAGGCTCCTCGCCGAGCAGAGAGCCCGATTCGGGGCTCGATCCCAGGAAACTGGGATCATGACCTGAGCCGAAGGCAGAGGCTTTAACCCACTGAGCCACCCAGACGCCCCATCACTCCCAACAATTAAAACGTGCCCTCTTTAATGACATTTCATGAGAAAATGAATCAGTGCGATACCTTGCTTCATATCCTCCGCTCCCCCCCCACCCCGCCCCGTCCACAACTTGTCTTCTCTCCTTTCTTCATTCCAGAAACAGCATTTGACAGAGGTCATATGGTCACAGTTCTTCAACATGGAAGGAAATAATGTTTTATTCATTTTTGATTTCCAGAGCATCTCAGAATTCACAAGGTGGACTGATTCACTGAATAGAGGCCGGGCGGTACTCTTACAGATCTGAGCTCTTTTAAAGGCCCTTTTCCTCCGCGTGCACTCTATGTAAGGATGGTCTTGGCTACAGATCAGTTTAGCCGCTCAGTGCTGAAAGAACCAAACTGTGAATTCTGTATCATCAATGAGCTCTATTGCTTGCAGAGTAGACATTGTGGTGACTGGTTGATCTGGTTTTTCCAGTTGGATTAGAACTGAGATCCACTGTGAAGGTGTCTTCAGGTATCAAAGCTACATAACATCTTGGATCTTTGAAACAGTATCACCCTTCTTTACTACAACTGGTAACCTGGTGTTAACACTAGAAATTCCAAATGTCCTACCGTAGCTACTGCCCTTCCAGGTTGGACAAGAAAAATATGGGCACTTAAAAAAATGGTTTTGGGGGCCCCTGGGTGGCTTAGTCATTAAGTATCTACCTTCGGCTCAGGTCATGATCCCAGGGTCCTGGGATTGAGCCCTGCATGGGGTTCCCTGTCAGTGGGAAGCCTGCTTCTCCCTCTCCCACTCCGCCTGCTTGTGTTCCTGCTCTCGCTGTCTTTCTCTCTGTCAAATAAATAAATAAAATCTTTTAAAAAAGTGGATCCTATCAAAATGTTATCTTCACGTGTAAAGCTAGGGGAGGAGTTGGTTTTCCCCAGGGGAGCATTCGTACTTTCTAACTCGGCTCTGGGAGTCTTCTCTGCTGAGACTAGACCTGAATTTTCTACGGACGTGCCCACTGTTGAAGTTGCTGGAGTTGAGAGGTGAGAGGGGATGGGCAGAAAAAAGTGCCCAAGACTCCACAGCACTTGCAAAGCTGGGGAAATCCCTAAAAAGGATTTTAGGGATAAAGACTTATTTCAAGAGGGCTGAGGACGGGGAGGAAAACACACCAGGGTAAAGGTGAAAAGCAGAAAAAGTAGAAACATTGTAGGAATGGGGGGCGGGGATGGAGTTGAGAACAGCCAAAGACGAATTTACTACCCTCACAATTTTGTTTCAGTTAGATGTGCCCACCAAGCAGTCAGCCCATTGGTTGCTCCAAGGTGGGGGCATCAAAACCCTGTTAGAATTGATTCTTTCTATGCGGGGGAGGGGAGGGCAGATGATCTCAGTGAGACACAAAGACTGACATCATTTACCCCTACTTTATCTAGGCATCTGTTACATCCTTTTCTTCTTTAAGTGGTATGAGATGATCCTTGGGCTTAAAACCAGTGAGAATGAATTGAGGCTAAAAATACCTATGTCACTGAGGAACTGGTTGGATTAATTAGGTTCTCTTTGTATTATTTCTGGTTCAGGTATATTTGATTGTCTTTTTGTTTTGTTTTTTTTTTAAACAAAGCTATGCTTTTATTAAAAAGTGGTTATTAAAGTGGTTAGTTCACAGTATGAGACCAGCAAGTTGCCATAAACTCCTTGTAGCTTCTCTGATTCTTTGCAATGCCTTCTGCTACAGGTAATATAATTCAATGATAATAATGGAAACCCCGATTTCCTGGGAAGAATGGGCTCTAACTCTTAAAAGAAACTAGAAAATAGCTAAAGACCAACTTTTTGTAAATTTGTTTTTTATTATTAATTTTACATTTTACTCTTCATGAAGGCAAAGATTTTTAAACGCTTTGTTTGCTTGTTATCCCCAGGGCCTAGAGTATAGTAGGCATTCAATAATTATGTGTTAAATGAATGAGTGAATGAATGAACACATGGATTATAAGTAAGTAGCATTTTGGTACCAATAGATAAAAAATGCTAAACTAAAATCACACTTTAGGATTATGGTAGAGCTACCAAGTCACAACGTTGAGCAGTATGATAAGGATACTCTAAAAGACAATATGAAGGGGGGTGAGTGGGTGGCTCAGTCTGTTAAGCATCTGCCTGTGTCTGGGGACATGATCTCAGGGTCCTCTGATCGAGCCCCATATAGGACTTTCTGCTGAGCTGGGAGTCTGCTTCTCCTTCTCACTCTCCCTCTGTGTACACCCCCTTCTCTCTCAAATAAATAAATAAATAAATAAAATCTTAAAAAAAAAAAAAAAAGACAATATGGGATGCCTGGGTCGCTCAGTCTGTTAAGTGTCTGCCTTTGGCTCAGGTCATGATCTAGGGTCCTGGGATGGAGTCCCTTGCTCAGTGGGGAGTTTGTTTCTCCCTCTGCCTGCCACTACCCCTGCTTGTATTCTCTCTCTCTCTCTGACAAATAAATAATCTTCAAAAAAAGAGACAATATGAAGGTACTTAGTGGAGTTTTAAAAATGCTAATTACATAAAATGAAGGAATATTCATGGAAGCCTTCACAAATATTCAAAGTTATATAAATTATAGTATCAAATTTTTACCTATGTATGATTTGCAATCTTAATGTTTATTGCGCTTGACTTGCAATAGATTCTCTGACTAAAGGCACTGTGCTATGGCCAAAGATGCCAAATGACATTTTGGAGTCTGTGTTAAATATGTGAAGTTTCCACAAATACTCAGAGGTCTAAAATGCTTCCTAAGAGGCAGAAGGTCAGTCAATGTGGTAAGGGAAAGAGCTTGAGAGCTCACCGAGTAGAAACCAACAGGCACAGGGGCAGCCTCATTAAAATGGCTGGGATAGGGACGCCTGGGTGGCTCAGTCAGTTAAGCATCTGCCTTTGGCTCAGGTCATGATCTCAGAGTCCTGGGATCCAGTCCCCCACTGGGCTCCTTGCTGAGCAAGGAGCCTGTTCCTCCCTCTGCCTGCTGCTCCCCCTGCTTGTGCTCTCTCCCTTTCTCTCTCTGACAAATAAATATAATCTTTTAAAAAATGGCTGGGTAATTTAAAAATTACTTTGCTATTGAAGGAATTCAGCGGTACAAATGAGAGCTACAGAAGCAAAATTGCTTCAGTCCACACAAAGTCTCATTTGCTTTGAGAATGTTTTTGCTTTGCTTATTTGTTAAGGAAGACGTCTCTAGGACGTCCAGCTTCCACAACAAAGCAGAGCTTGGTGAATTCCCATCATTTGGGAAGTAGAGCCTCTTTCTGCTGATCTGGCTGTCTGCAGATCTCCCAGGTGTAAAAAGAGGTGAAAAAAGGTCATCAGATATATAGGTAGATCAGCTGTGATCCCCAGAGGCTTTAAGTATTGGGGGAACGAAAACCGTTCAGGGATAAAGCCGGCCTTTGTGTGTCTCTGATTTCAATGATTTATAAAAATTTTTTCTATTAAGTGTGAATAAATCCCTGAATTCTGCTGTGCCGGGTCCTCAGAGCTCCAAATGCCTGATATAGGAACAGCTGTAGTGTGAATTAGTTGGCCTAAGCTCTTGGGCTGCTTCCAACTTCGCTATTGCTCATGCCCCACAGGTCAAGGAAAGAAGTGATGTAATGCACTTAGCTGTGCCACTTTAATTACAATGCAATGGAGAGGGGGAGGGGTTATAGGCGGTGACAAGTTTAGCGCATGACTTGCCCTAGGGATGCAGGAAACAAAAACACGGCCAACCATTGGCTGCGTCCACTTCCGACCGGGTATCTAGCTCCTAGTCTGGAACCTTGAAACACTTATTTCCTGGGAAGAGGGGTGGCGCTAGCCTACAGACCGTCAACCATAAACACGCAGCGCGCGCACACTCACACACATACACACACCCCCGCGGAGGCTGGCAGCGTCCTCCTTGCTGAAATGGGCGTGGGGCCGAGCGCTTGGCCCATGGTCCCCCGAAGGTTGTCCCAAAGCCGGCCGCAGAGTCTAGGCTCGGCGCTCGGGACCCACGGAGGCCCCGCGTCCGCGGAAACTGGTATCACCCGGGCCCGGTCCCAGTGAGCCGCGCTCGCGTCATTCATTCGCCGCGTCCGGAGCGTCCCAGCGGCGAGCTAGGCTTCGCTGCGTGTGCCAGTGGCCCCGACGTGGAGTGTTAGCGCGCGGTGACCTCGACTGCGCGGAGCGGCCAGAGACGGAGGCGGCCCGGAGCTCGGCTCCGAGAGCAGCCGCGGCGCAGCCCAGCTCGGCCCTCGCCGCGGGGCCGTGTGTTTCTGTCGCCCGCAGCCCTGCCCGCCGCGGGCCCGGATCCCGGGACTGAGCGCCGCCACTTCCTCCTCCCGCTCCTCGCGCCGCCGCGGGCGGGAGTCGGGCTGCTGGGCGGCGGGCCTGGGCGTCTGCGGCCCCGGGCTCGCGGGGGGCGGCGCCGCCGCGGGGAGGATGCTGCTCGCCGCGCCCGCGTCCTCGCCGTCCTCCCCGGCCTCCCGCGGGGTCTTTGTTGTGGCCCGGGCGCCGCGGGCGGCCGGCTGGTGAAGTCGCTCTCCGCCGCCGCACCTAGCGGGCGAGAGGGCGCGCGTGTGCCCGGGAGTGCGCGCCTGTGCGCGCCGGTGTGTGCAGGACCCGACCCGCGGCCCCATTGTGTGTCCGCCCGCGGCGCCCGGGAACATGTGGGTGAACCCCGAAGAGGTGCTGCTGGCTAACGCGCTGTGGATCACCGAGAGGGCCAACCCCTACTTCATCCTGCAGCGGAGGAAGGGGCACGCGGGCGACGGAGGCGGCGGCGGCGGACTCGCGGGTAAGGACCCGCGGCCAGTCGGTGCGGGAGGGGGCCCCGAGCGCTGCGGCGCCGCCCGCGGCCCTGGGCTGCGGGCACCCGGGACGCCGCCCGGTCCCCTGGGGCTGGGCGGCCCACCCCACTTGGGTGCGTGGAAGGCATCAGGAGTCGTGATTTTTCAGTCTGTGAGAGAGTGATTCTTCTCTTACCTTGTCAGGCTAGGGGGCCCTTCGAGTACCGGGCGCCCCTAAGTGGGTGATGTTGATGAGAATGGAGATTGGGGGGGAGGGAGCAGCCCTTATGCATTGAATGCAGTACTCCTCCCTACCCGCCACCCACCCCTGCCTATTCCCCCTTAAAAATGCCGCTTTGTATATGGGCAAGAGACGTAGAGGATGATTAATTTTTCCTGCCTTCTTTTTGCTGATCACGGCAGGATCAGGTATAAAATGCTCTTTTGTTTCCAGGGAAGCAATCAGTAAGAGGCTGGTGTGGTCATTTCGCGTATTAGTTTTGACCGAAGAGAATGAAAAAGGATTTTTGTTGTTGTTGTTGTACCTAATTCGACATAATAAAGCAAGTTATCTGGTTGTAAAAAGAATTACCGGTATGTCTGCATTTTAACTATTTTAACTCAATCACTTAGCTGAACCCCCCTCACAAGTTATTATTAATAACGTAACTACTACTAAAAACCCCTGCCCTATAGTTTCGGGATTGTAAAGTCAGACCCATATCCCAGGTAGTGCCATATTAGAAAAGCCTTCGTTATTAACTAACTAGTTTGCTTGTTTCGGAGGTTACAAATAATCTTGAACTCATACCATATTGGAGAAATTGGACCTTCCCCCTCTCCATGGTGGTTAGCAAAAAGAGAACTGGGATACTTTTCACCATGAAGTTAGCAGAAGAAATAGGAGAGGTTTAACTAGGAAAGAGACTGCAGAAAAGAGATGAACTTTGACCTCTTAAGGGTCCAAAATATATCACCCTCTGGGAGCTTGCCTGCTAGCTAAATTTTTGCTTTCAAAGTGTTGTGCTATGAACTAAAAATTTTTGATATGGTATGTATTTAGTTACGATTATAGTTTACAGACTAGTTTCCTCAAGATTAAAATTTAAGGGACACATTTTATGGCATATGTGGGTTTAAAGGATTTTGCTAGTATATCATATTGCCTATACCTAATGATTTTTCTACATTTTTTCTGCCATAAAAGAGAAGGCAGTATGCTGAACTCCAGACCCTATTCTGGAAATTCTGATTAGTGGGGTAGAATCAGAATTTTCCAGTTCATTTTGTAGAAGTTATCTAACTATATACACTAGTATGTAGATTGTCCTTTGAGCCTAAAACAACAACGTAAAGTAGGTAGTTTATTGTATTAACAAAGAACATTTCCTGCCTGGAGTTAACCATCCTACACTGTATAACTACTAAGTAGTATTTCTTTTCTAGAGTCATATGCCGTAGGTTATGAAAAATTCAGAAATGCCAGAGCTTTCTTTTCCTAGTTAATATTTTTATTATGTTCTTCCTGGCTCAGAACTGTAACTAACCACAGTCCACCTGGAATCTCATTATTGATAACTTATTTCAGAAAGATAAAGTTACATCTTTTTACAGCTATTGCAGTCATTGCTAGAATGATTGAAATTATTATCACGAGTAAAAATATTCCTGCCAACCAAGGCTTTTTTTCAACTACAGGAGGAAAAATGTCTGCTCAGATAGGTTGGTGCCACCTTAAATGTAGCAGGAACATTTTAGAAATCCTTGAACTATGTATAGCATATTTCGATCCTAACGTGAGTTCCTTCATGCGTTCATCAACTTACTAAATCATTTAACAAATATTTATTGGCAGTATGTGAAGCGCCAGTGTCGTGAAGCTCACAGCCTTGTGGAGAGGACAAGTGTTGATAAAATAATCACATAAATTAATATAAATTAATATATATTTGCTACTCCACAGGGTCCCAGCAGAAAATAGAACCAAACCTAGTCCAAATGAAGAGAATAGGTGAAAAGACAACTTAGAAAGATGGAGGCAGGGTTACCAGAATCAGAGAAAGGCCCAGTGGGGGTGGGGGGGGACTGTTACCCACCCCCAACCCCCCCACCCCCCCACCCCACCCAGGTGGCAGGAATGATGTTACTGGAAGTCTTGTGTGCTGAACCCAGGCAGGAGGAGTTTGGGCCTCCTAAGAAGCAGACTGTGCTAGAAAGAAACACAGAGCACAGCAAAAAGGAAGTGGAGAGGACATGCCTGACTTCTCTTCTCATACCGTGTTAGCTTCTGCCACTGTCTTTGATCTGTGGCACCCAAGAAAGCCAGCTATACAGGATGTTCTGGTGATCTAGTTCCTAGGGATCAGCCTCTGAGGGATGGATTTGGGAGGTGGGAACAAACTGAGAATGACTGGTTCTGATCAAAAAGAGAGGAACATGTGTTGGTTACCCTACTTGGAGAAAGGGGGTGGGCATGGGGGCAAGGAACATTTCCCTGAAGAAGTGACACTTGAGCTGAGAACTGAAGGACGGAAAAGAGCAGCCTGTGAGGAGAGGAGGGAAGACCCAGTGTTGGGTGTCAGTTGTTGGAGATTTTTCTGGAAGATCTCTGGACCTTTATATAATGTATATTATCTATACCAGCGCACTCATTAGGGTGATGATGATGATGAGAGGATGAATAGAAACTGGCCTGCTCAGTGGGAACTGGCCAGGAGTGCTCAGTAGTCCGTAGTGTTTGGGGAGATGTTGGCGCAAAAGCTTTAAAAAATAATGGGTCACAGTGAAGACCTTTGCTTTTTTGTTTGTTTTATTTTATTTTATTTTTTTAAAGAAAACCAGAGGTACTTTATTTGTTTTTTTTTTTTTAAGATTTTTTATTTATTTGCCAGAGAGAGAGAGAGAGAGCAAGTGAGTACACACAAGCAGGCAGAGAGGCAGGCAGAGGCAGCAAGAGAAGCAGGTTCCCCGCTGAGCAAGGAGCCGGATGCGGGACTCAGTCCTAGGACCCTGGGATCATGACCTGAGCCAAAGGCAGTGGCTTAACCCACTGAGCCACCCAGGCATCCCTGTTTGTTTTATTTTTTAAATTAAGCTATTCCCTTCCCCATCCCAGGCAATATACATAGGTATTGAGGCAATGAAGTATTTTTTTTTTTTTTTTTTTTACTGGAGATGCATTAGATTTATTTACTTAACCTCCTTTAACTGAGATTTCATACGTCTACAGAAAAGTACACAAAATAAAGATCCAGAGCACAGTGACTTATCACAGAGTGACCTTATAACTAATACCAGGATAATAAATAGAACATTGCCCCCAAAGCTCCTCCTTGTAACCCTCTCCCAGTCATTATTCACCCTGTCCCAAAGGTTAAAAAAAAATCAAATAAAACAACAACAACAAAAACTAACAACTATCCTTGTGTTTTTTTGTTAACAGTTTTCTACTTTTCTTTATAGTTTTTTGTTTTTGACAACGTATCTCTAAACACGTTTTGGTTTTGCCTGTGTTTTGAACGAGGAATGAATGTAATCAGAGTATGCATTCATGTGTTTGGATTCTTTGCTCAGCATTGCAGTTGTGCTATTGATGAATGTTGTTTCTTATGGCTCTAGTTTATTTTTCTGTGCTGTATGGGATACTATTACAGGAGTATACCACAGTCCTTTGTTCATATTTATCCATTGTATTGTTGGTGAATCTTTGAATGATTTGTTTGGGGGCATTAAAGGCAAGGTAGCTATGATCTTTCTTGTGTGTGTTTCTGTTGCGTGTGGGCATACAATTCTATTTGGTCTGTACCCAGGAGAGGAATTACTAGCTCACAGGTTATGTGTATCATCAACTTCAGTAGATAATGCCAGACTGTTTTCCAGAGTGGTTGTACCAGTATACTCCCAACAGCAGGGAGTATTTGGGAATTTCCCTTGCTCCATATCCTTAACAGTATTCTTAATAATATCATCAGTCTTTGTAATTTTTACCATTCGTGTGGTTTTATAGTAATATCACATTGTGGAGTTCATTTGCTTTTTCCTAACTAATGAGGTTGAGCACCTTTTCATGTTAATTGATCATCTGAAATATTCTGACATGATTGAGTCTTTGCCCACTTTTCAGTTGGATCGTTTGTCTTTTTCTTACTGATTATCAGTATTTTTTTAAAAATATATTCTGGTGATGAGTTCATAGTTGGTTCTACGAATGGCAAAATTGTCATTCTGTTGCTTGCCTGCCTATTCACTCTCTTAAGGAGAGAGTGATTTCTCGCTTAATTTTAGTGTCCAAATTCTTTAAAGGTTCCATTTCCTTTATGGTTGGTGTTTTATTATGTCCTGTTCAAGAAGTCTTTTTCTAGATTGAGGTAAATGTTATCTTCTAGGAACTTTTCAGTTTTAACATCTAAATTTATATTTACAGGTAACTGGGAATTAATTTTTGCATATTGTGTGAGATAGGGGTCAAGTTTTATTTTTAAAAAAATTATGTGGACATCCAGTTGTCCCAGCATGAATATTGGTAAATCTGTTGTTACTGTTCTGTAGGGCTACCTTGGTCATAAGTCAAGTGACCAGATATGTGACAATTGACTTGTTTGAGGACTCTAGCCTCTTTCTTTTATTTATTAAAATATTCTTGCTCCAGGACCACACTGTAGTTTTATAGTAAGAGTTTACATTCATTTAATCAAGTATTTATTTTTTTTAAAGATTTTATTTATTTATTTGACAGACAGAGATCACAAGTAGGCAGAGAGGCAGGCAGGGAGAGAGGAAGAAGCAGGCTCCCTACTGAGCAGAGAGCCTGATGTGGGGCTTGATCCCAGGACCCTGAGACCATGACCTGAGCTGAAGGCAGAGGCTTTAACCCACTGAGCCACCTAGGTGCCCCAATTTGATCAAGTATTCTTATCTTGTTTTTTTGTTAAGAGTTTCTCAACTATCTTAGTCTTTTACATTTACACAGCATTTTAGAATCAAAGTATCAAAATTCCACCGAAACAAA